TCCACCACAGGATGTGAGGCCTCATCCAACTGTCTTATTCTATTCATCTATGAGGCTAATGGATAAAAGATAGTCTGTAAATACAAAGGGGTCATTTTAATAACTATTGTATTATTAATCTCAAATGGAAAAAATATGAGCCAGAAGACAAATTTGATAACAGGGTAAGGTTATCAAATTTGTGTGGGGTAAGGGTGTGTCCTCATTCAACAAGTGTCAATTCATGGCCCACTACCAGCATAACATTTTGCTGGATCTGCACAAGATGATTTTTTTTTTTTTTTGAGATGGAGTTTCCCTCTTGTCACACAGGCTGGAGTACACTGGCACAATCTTGGCTCACTGCAACCTCTACCTCCCCGGTTCAACCTCTACCTCCCAGTGATTCTCCTGCCTCAGCCTTCTGAGTAGCTGGGATTACAGGCACCCGTCACCACACCCACCTAATTTTTGTATTTTTAGTAGAGACAGGGTTCTACCATGTTGGCTAGGCTGGTCTCAAACTCCTGACCTCAGGTGATCCAACCGCCTTGGCCTCCCAAAGTGCTGAGATTACAGGCGTGAGCCACTGCGCCCAGCCAGATGATTTTTTAAAAAATTAAAATGAAGCCCATCATTAAGTTGATTGTTTATGTTCTTCTTTGCAATTTTTTTTTTCGTTTTTTTGAGTCAGGGTTTTGCTCTATCACCCAGGCTGGAGTGCAGTGGCATGATCACAGCTCACTGCAGCCTCCAGCTCCCAGGCTCCAGCAATCCTCCCAGCTCAGCCTCCAGAGTAGCTGAGACCACAGGTGCAAGCCACCACACCCAGTTCATTTTTTGTTTTCTGGACAGACAGGATCTCATTATGTTGCCCAGGCCAGTCTCAAACTCTTAGACTCAAGCAATCCTCCCACCTCAGCCTCCCAAAGTGCTGGGATTATAGGCATGAGCCATTGTGCCCAGCTTAATCTTTTATTTTTAAGAATTCTACCTTTCAGAACAGTTGTAAAACTGTCTTTCCCTTGGTGACCACAGTGTCCATCATGATTTTGAGTGACCGGTAAGATAAAGCAGAGTAAGGCTGACAGGGCTGGGCCCCGCCTCTGCTATGGGAAGGACCAGCACTATACTTCTTTTGCAAGTGAGAAAACTTGAAGGGCAAAAGGATGAGTAAAATGTCAAATTTAGGCCTGGCATGGTGGCTCATGCTTGTAATCCCAGCACTTTGGGAGGCTGAGGTGGGTGGATCATCTGAGATCTGGAGTTTGAGACCAGCCTGACCAACATGGTGAAACCCCGTCTCTACTAAAAATACAAAATTAGTAAGGTGCAGTGGCAGGTGCCTGTAATCCCAGCTACGAGGGAGGCTGAGGCAGGAGAATGGCTTGAACCAGGAGGCAGAGGCTGCAGTGAGCCAAGACTGTGCCACTGCACTCCAGCCTGGACAAGACAGAGCGAGACTCCCTCTCAAAAAAAAAAAAAAAGTAAAGTTTATTAACCTACTAGATGGTGGAATTAGAAGCCCCATCCTAGGCTTCTCACTCAAATTCCAGGCTCTATTCAATCATACTTGAAGCAAATATCCTATTCCGGAAAGTCTCAACCGCTTTCAGGTTCTTATTGACTTAATAAAGCCTGGAAAGGCATTGATCCTAAGACATCTCCTGACTTCAAAGCTGAATCAATATTTGGACTCAGGTTAGAATGTCATTAACGCCACCGAATTGCACACTTAAAAAAATGGTTAAAATGGCAAATTTTTTGTTATATATGTTTACTACAATTTAAAATATTAATAGTGTAATATACCAAAAATATATACCATTGAATTGTACACTTTAAACAGGTGAATTGTAAGGTATCTGAATTACATCTCAATAAAGCTGTTTGGGGGAAAGGAAAAACAGGTTAGGCTTGATAATCTAAAATCCTGGACCTGAATAAAATGTAAATGTAAGTCAGGCTGGAAAACTGGACAGCAGGGAAATCAGAGCTGTAGTCAGTTCTTCATGTACTCCCTCAGGTCACCGGAACTGTCCTCTGCTTCTCAAAATAGCTAGGGAGCAAGGAATCACGGATGTCCTTCCACAACTAACGACTGGAGACTGTGCTTGGGATATGTGTCCAAGAACTCTCTGCTCTGCAAGGGTAGTTATTCATATCACCAGGTTTTTGTTAGTTTTACATGTTATTGTGGGAAAAGTTAAAAATATAGAAAAGACAAATGTTTAATTACCCAGCTTCAAGTCATGGCCAGGCTTCTTTCATCTATATCCTCACCCATTCCTCCCCACTCCCATGCTGTGTTAATTTGGAGCAAATTCCAGACACGGTATCATTTCCTTTTTTTTTTTTTTTTT